CTCACTCGTGGATCGAATTTCCGGCACCTTACTTGATACGCTGTTTACATAGGTAACAGAGAGTAGACTGAACTCATAATTAGGACCCCGCCGGATACGGTTTGAAATCTGCCAAGACCAAGACTTACAAATCTGTAGTTTTATTCATAGATAGGTTCAAGTTTCTACTATAAACAGGCAAAAATCGCATGTGTTCAAAAGTTATTAAGGAAACAACTTAGTGTATTGAATTTTGAAATGGGTAGTATAATTGTACAAATGAGCTACAATTAACAACCTAGTTATTCATTCATATTCTGATATACTCTGTTCTAATTTTATTTCAGCCAATATCATATTACGATATACACAAAGCAAATGAGTTGAGTTCAAAATTATCATCGTACGTGTTTATGACTATCTGTTGATCCATCAATTGGATCGGTTGCAACATATTCTTATTAAAACTTTTGCTGTGGTATTTTGTAGAAATATTGATAAAATTCAGAATGGTATTGGCTACCAATTATCCCCTATTCCTATGATGATAGCAATGACTAGTGGTGGTGTTCTACTAGCTTTTATTACAAACTGGAGATTAACATTAGTTTTATTAATACCATCACCATTTTTAGCTGTAGCGTGGATTTTATTCAGAGAGGTATGACTAAGCAATTACCGTTAGCAATTACTAATTATCTTTTCTACTTCAGTTTACTGTTCGAATAACTATCAACGAATTAAATTCCTATTCAAAATCTAATTCAGTAGCACAAGAGGTCTTTAGTTCAATTCGGACAGTTTTTGCTTATAATGCTTCACAATATGAACAAACACGGTAATCTCAAATTGTCTTGACAAATAAAACTAATACAATAGAGAATTTCTATTTCTTTCGTTGTATTCAGATACAGCAAATATTTAGATTCGGCAAAAAATGCTAATATAAAAAAAGGTATTACATTCGGATGTTATATGGGTGGTTATTCAATGATGTTATTTTTTTCCTACGCAATCGGTTTATATGCTAGTTACTGGCTACTAATATCATTAAACGATAGTGTCAAAATAGATAAAGATACGTTCATTGGAGATATAATTATTGTAAGTATTATCTCTTAACGTATGTATGACCTTGATGGATGGATGTATTTCATTCGCATATGGTTTTCAAGGTCATTATTGCTATCACAGACGGAATTTTCTCGATCGGTGGTTTAGCTCAACATGTTGAAGCATTAGAGGAAGCTAGAGCAGCAGCTACCGAAATTTGGCAAATTTTGGACGAGGAACAAGTGTGTTTGCTTAAAAAATTTAGTAATGACGCATTTTTCTTTCTGACATTAATTATTGTTTAACATTTTTTATGTAGCAACCGCTATCGGAGGAAAATTCGGCTCAGTCAGAGAGTAAGAAAGATCAATACAATAACAATGACGATATCAATGGTGATATTGAATTTGACAATGTTCAGTTTGCCTATCCAACAAGAGAGATGAATGTACTCAACAATTTCAATTTAATTGTTCATCAAAATGAAAAAATAGCTTTGGTTGGAATGAGTGGAGCAGGTTAATTCCTTCTTCAATTCAATCAAACATTCGTATCTCTATTTTTCTTCATTTTTACGCAGGAAAAAGTACTTGCATTCAATTGCTCTTGCGCTTTTATGAGCCAACATTGGGTACAATTAAAATTAACGGCCGTTTAATCGAAGAATTTGATATTAAATGGTTAAGGAAACAAATTGGTGTAGTTAATCAAGAACCGGTAATTCATTTCTCTACTGATACTAAATGGATTTTCTTAATCAAAGATCTCGGGTTTTCGATTATGCCTTAGCGTTTACAAACTATTGAGAGATATTATATCTTGTGCTCCGATAGACCTGTACTTCCATCGAAAGCGGAAAAGCTGATCAAAATGTAATGTTTGTTAACCTTTTAAAATCAAAATTTGAGGTAGAAAAAACTGAAACAAATGAAATTCTCATTCCAATATGATTTCTTTTTCTTAGTCAAACGGCTTTTTGAACTGTCAGCTGTTATTCTCTTAGAAACTTCATTAGCCTGTCTTGTAGAGAATGACA